TACTATTATGATATGCATACGCAAATAATAATTTTTTAACACACCTACTTAGGCAAATAAAATGGTTTCACAGTTTTCATTTAGTAAAATTTTGCAACTTTTTTCTGCAAAATTAATAAAATTGAAAATATTAACATATGTTTTAGCGTTGTCGCGTACTCAATAGGTCATCACAAAAATAATAGTAATTGTCACCGTTGGAGATTTCAAATTACCTAAAACTATGTTCCCATTGGCGTAATTTAGAGGTCAATCTTAATTTACGCATAAATTAAGTACAAACTAAGTAATTTCGCCTTGTAAAGTCTCTCAGTAAATTAAGTTGAAAGTACGTAATTTATCTTAAACCAAGAACCAAATCACGAACAAATCAGTGTCGGCTCTAATTTTATCGATAATAATCGAAAAAAGTATTGTCCCATAACTGATATGTCATTGTGTTTGGACGTTTTTGTTTTTAATAATCGCGCGTGGTAGTTTGTAAAATATTTCCAGAAGCTTTCTCTTTTGATCACTCATCTAAAATCTAAAAAATTACCACAAACAACTCAGAATATAAAAATATACGCAATTACTCACATTCGCGATCTTTTTTGGTTAAATAAACAATAACACATGGTTGCTACAAAGCTGTCAAGACAAATAAAGAATCGCGTGTATTAACGCACTTAATTCTTTGCCTAATAATATATGTAGTTGATATTTTTTCCATTTTTTATCATTATACACATTTTGTTTTATCAAAAAGGTATTATATCTTATTTTATTTTGTTTCATTGCGAATATACTATAAAAAAGTAAATTTTGTTTAGAAGAAAATATGAAATTTTATATTTTTCCCCCAAATGGGGATTCATTTTTTCCCGTTTTTCTTCTTATTCTACTGAGCTAAGGCAGTGCCAAATCGAGCTGTCACAACTGATACCACCTTGTATTATTGCATCATGACAATTGATTATAAACATGACAATAGTTATAGCGGCGAGTTTTGTCATTGCACGCGAATAAGGCTGTAAATTACACACAAAAATGAAGTAGTTTCATTAAATATAATATACATTTTTAAATCAAGTGAAGGTAATACTATAAAATAAAAATCACATAAGTAATGTAAAACACGATGACATAAAGTAAATTGCAATTAAATGAAAATGTTAAAGCGTACCCTGGAAACGGTACAATCGTATGAACAAATTAACTGTGAAATGGAAAAATTATTGGCATAACTGTTCCGAGAAACGAGACCAGGAATATTTTAAAATTTTTGGAAATTACAATTTAGTGGGTAATTATCAAATATAATCCGACGAATAATTATAAAATTATTAAATTGGATGAATAACCTGGCGATACGATGACCTAGTCCTATGCCATATCAATACAAACTTAATAATTGTAATTTGACGTATAACTAACAATTATTAAATTGGAGGAATAACATAGTTACTTGTGGACCGCTAAGCTTCCAACCAAGAAAACAATACACATTTTAAAACGACATAACCAAGATTTATTAAGAAACTAGCAGAGCTCCCGACGTCGTTCGGGGTAAACAAGTCGAAATATAAAACAGTAATACAAATATTCAGTTTAGCATAAATTAGAAGAGAAAAACTATTTTCTTTCTTTTTAAATTAAGGAATCCTTATGAGCCATACTGTAAGCTTTATCGTACTTCAACTAATATGTATTGATCCTCACTTTCTGTATTACAAATCCCGCTCTACTATTAATATTAGGTGGAGTGGTCTAATAGTTGAATAAATATTTATCCCCCTTTTACAAACACATCTATGTATACTTTATTCTAAACTCCTCCTATATATATGTCTGCATACCAAATTTCAGGTTCATGTGACTTATGGTTCCCAATTTATGGCTGGTTAAAAATTCCACGCCTATGGGATGTGACACGCCCCTTTTTACACACCCATTTATATACTATATGCACCTACCATCGATATGTCTGTATACCAAATTTCAAGTTCATGTTACTTATGGTGTCGAAGTTATAGCTGATAAAAAATTCCACGCCTCAAACTCATTGATATACACCTTACTATACGCACCTACCATAGCTCAGGTAATCGCTCGCTTTCAGGAAATTTTTCGCAGTTGAATATTGCCTCTACCTCTCGACATTGCCCCAGTACAGTTCCTCTTCGGAGTTTGATTGGTGATTTGAACTCATTGAGCACTCAAACTGGGACGCGTTCAACTTTTGCGTCTTAGCCAGGGATTTACGAATAAGTACGTCCGGTGTGGAATTTTGTGTTACTTCAGCAACCCACAATTTGTTTGTCCCACAATCTCCATCAATCTTCGCCCAAACAACTGCTTCTGACTTCGGTGGAATCTGCTCGCTTTCCTCTAGGATCACTCGCTTGCTGCTGTACGGGCCATCATACCCAAATCTAAGGGGCACTTCCATGTTGTTATACGTCATAATCCTGTTCTTCCTGTTGATCTGCATACTTTGATCAAGTAAGAAGTCTATTCTAATGATGACTTCATCTACAATCGCCGCGACTATGCACTTGTGTAACATCGTCACATTCCCTACTGCGACTTTGAATGTTACCTCTCCTACAACTTGGGTGTCCTCACCAGTTGCTGTCCTCAACCTTGCTCCAGGTAATGGCCTTATCTCTTTAGTGAATCAGGTCGAATGATGGAATGTGATGCGCCCGTATCCACAGTTAGTACTCGCTCATGTCCGTCCACATATCCACCAACAGTAACGTTGCTCGCTTTTCTGTCAATTTGCGAGACGGGGGCATTCAATTGCGGGAGCCAGCGCGCGCCCCTTGTTGCTTGCTCGTTTTAGTTTAACGACTGATTGGAGTTGGATTCGTCTCCTTCAGCCCTGCGTATGCGTTNATATCCACCAACAGTAACGTTGCTCGCTTTTCTGTCAATTTGCGAGACGGGGGCATTCAATTGCGGGAGCCAGCGCGCGCCCCTTGTTGCTTGCTCGTTTTAGTTTAACGACTGATTGGAGTTGGATTCGTCTCCTTCAGCCCTGCGTATGCGTTCTGCTGAATTGTTGAGCCCACTGGAGCTTGCGCTGCAATCGCGGGCGAAGTGGCCTGGCTTTCCACATTTAAAACATTTGCCATAGCCATGCTTTTTCTCGCCCAGCAGTTGGAAAATCTTCTTCAGCATTTCATTTGTCTCGTGCGGTGCTTCCACTTCCACCCGATGTGCTTTGTAGGTCTACTTTGGTCTACTTAGGAGCGCCGCCGTTTCACGCGTCTGAGCATACGAGACAGTTTCAGCAAATGTTGGCTTTGGATTCGCGTACGTCTCTCGCTTGTTATACCCGTCCCGCATTCCGTTGATGAACCTCTGGATTTTTACCCTTTCTAGGTGATCACCAGATGCGTCTGCAATAGCCATGTGAGCCAACCTCTCGATCTATGAGGCGAATTCTTGTAGAGTCTCGTTGGCTTATTGGCAGCGGTTCTCCAGTCCGGTCAAAGGATGGGGTTTTTACCTTGGGAGCCTTCACCGAAATAGCTGGACGATTCAACTGTAAATCACGAAGACGACCTTCCAATTCTTCTACCTTAGCCTCAACTTTCTCCTTAATTAACTCTTCGATTTTGTCTTGCCGATCCTCTGAGTTCTGCGTTACCTTTGAATAAATTCTGCTCTAGCTGAGTAATCTTTTCATCTAGCTGCGATTACATGTACATTTTCTGTGCTTCCAGCTGCGATGACATGTGCGTTTTCTGTGCTTCCAGCTGGGACGACAGCTGTGATGACATCTGGGACATGGCGGCTAATAATATGTTCATGTCCATAACTAGGAGCCTTTTGCTGTTCTTCAACCTTCCCGGATGTCTGCTGCACATCCTTCGACGAACAAGCAGCCTCATCCTTCTGTTCGTCCTTCGTTGATGTCGCATCGTCCTCACGATGGAAGTCGTATTTGTCAACGTCGATACCTTCCTTTTCCATAGCCTCTCGCAGCCGTGATAGTAATTCCACTTTTCTTCCGGAGGTTGCTAAATTTCGCTTCTCCAACTCCTGCTTGAGTTCCTAAATTTTTTAATCCTAAATTTTTGCCATTTTCAGTAGTTTCTCCTCTGGGATTTATTTAACAATCCCACTTCTGACACCAATTGTTACGATTATCCTCGAAACCTTGAGGGATTTCCCAAATATCCCGGGGTCGTATCGCTGGATTGTTAAATAAATGCTCACGATGACCAAATTGCAGTACAATTAACTTTATTGTACAACAACAATTTACAATACTCGCCAATACAGTAAAAACACTTTACCATACTCGTTAAAGCAATTACAACGCTTGATAAAACTTGTCAACACAATTAAGCTTATAGCTTGCTTATTCGCAACTCACTTTAATTGTAGCTTGCTGACTTGTAACTAACTCTCCTAGCTGCGTGGTGGCCCTTATATACCTGCGTTCTGAAGTTCATCGCGCATTCTCTTTCTCTCGCTGTTCGCAGTGTTCATCCACTTGACGTTTCTGATTGTGGAACATTCTACTTCATTCCTCGAACATTCTGCCTATTTCTAGTTGTTCGCTTCGGTATCCCATTAGGAAAAAGGGTATGCGGACATCCAATCTTTCTGATTTTTGTCCACGACCTTCCGCAAATGCTCTTTCAGGGTTCGGTTGAACAGTTCCACCATGCCATCTGATTGGGGATGAAGAGCCGTTGTTCGAGTTTTCCGGATACCCAGTATCTGGCACATCTCTTGGAACACCGCCGATTCAAAATTTCTTCCCTGGTCAGAGTGCAGCTCTATAGGTACACCGTATCTCGCAACCCAATTGTAGGTGAATACCTCCGCTACTGTTTTAGCTTCCTGGTTTGGAATCGGGTATACCTCCGGCCATTTGCTAAAGTAGTCCATAACCACAAGGACGTATTTGTTTCCCTGTGCGCTCATAGGAAGTGGACCGGCTACATCCATGGCAATCCACTCGAAAGGTGCGCCTGAGTTATATTGCTTCATCTGTCCATGACTTCTGGATTTCGGGACTTTAGCTGCAATACACTCCGCGCAGTAAGCAATCCACTCTGCGACCGATTGCCGACAACCAACCCAATAGAACCTCTGCTTAACCTTCTCCAGGGTCTTCGTGATTCCCAGGTGCCCTCCACTAGGACCATTGTGGAATTCCTCGAGTACATCCGGAATTCTTACCCTTGGAACTACTATCAGGTTTCGGGAGCAC